AGACCAAGCGATAATGCGCCACACCTCGCCCATCGCGTCGAAACCATGGGGAACGACGGTCGCCTTGGAGTCTTCAAAGATTCCAAACGTGTAATTCTTGATCTGGCGAATCGTACCCCCTTGTGCGAAAAGCGATTGCCACGAAATGCAATCTAGCGACTTGGTGTGGTGGCCTCCTATACCTGTCACAGGAACTGCGTCTCCATGAATGCTTATGGGAATGGCGTTGTCTTGCCACCCTGCCCTTGCAAGCATTGGGTGTCCATCCAATCTGGGGTCGCCGCGTCGCTGTACCTCCGACCAAAACGCCCTGGGGCCATACCCTTCAGGAAGAATAGTGGTACGAAAGCCATCGTTGTCCTGGGCCCACAAATTTGCCATCACCACATGCGGAAGTAAGAATTCCATTGGCACTGTCGCTACAACACTAGGGGGCGCCATCAGTGGATGCAGCTCGCGCCTCTTCTTTTGGGTCAGCACGTGCACAATGAACGAATCTGGTTTCGGTGCGTTCGGTTCACCCAAGTATGTCTTCAGCTCCCTGTTCACGTTCCCTGGGACGCAGGAGGTTGGAGGGGAAGGAAGGGGATAAGCAAGCGGATAATGGGGAGAGAAGGACAGGAACAGGGCGCGGAATAAGCATGAGGATGCTCGCGGGGATCTTGGGATGGGGAGGCACGAGGAGAATGAGGAGGGGCGAAACACCTGGTCGCTGACCAGATGCCCCAAGCCTGGCGATGTGCTCCAACATGCGAGAACCAGGCCTGTCGCCGAGGATCTTCCGTCCGTCCTTATACGAAAAAAAAGCAATTCGTTGAAGTTCGACAGCAGGTTTGTAGCCCCAAGCCCAATCCCGAACCAGTTTTCTACACAGCGCAGAATCGAACCTCGATGGCTCGACCACCTCGCCACCGCCAAGTGTTTGCAACTCCTCTAGAGCACGCTGCCGTTGCCGAATGCCACCGCTGCGGGAAAAATGTAGCAAGAGAGCCCGCCGATCTTCGACAGACCCCATCGCCTCGCAAAACGCAGGGCCTGACTTGGGCCCCTGAGCATGGCAACGGTTGGCGGTTGTGACGGTTTCATCGCGTTGACGATTGTAGCCAGGTTCGTTGCTCTGACCGACGACATTCGCTTATCCCAAAGAAATGCGTGGACCCCAAACCCAGGTACGTTTGCCCCCCGCTCTTGGCTTACAACATACAATATGTGTTGGCGCCGACAAACGTAAAAGGAGGCGTTGGCGCTGACAGACAGGAGGTGTAGGCGCTGACAGACAGACATCGTCGAACAGAGAAGCTGCAGTATGTGAGAGGTGCAACCCTGTTTCTAAAGTCGAAACATACGTATTGAAATGCAAGCGCGGTTTGGGGATCACGGGATGGTTGCATTGATAATGACGATGGTTCGAATATTGTTGGTCATCGTATGGAGGTGCCATTTGTACGGGAAGATTATGAGGGGGAGTAACGGTGCTCCTTACATGTTCAGTTGGCTGCTGCCGCAGAGAACGAGCCACGTCGCTGTCAACTTCGCCAAACAAAGTTTGACACCTCGGAGAAAACTGTACCGCTATTAAACAAACTCGCTGCTCGTGGTGATGCCGTCGCGCATCAGGCGCCATTGCTTTTCTGGTGGACCCATGGGATGCTTGCACCGACGAGGACGACAAATAGTAAGTACGAGAAGGATGAGGAGGAGGAGTATGAGGAGGAGCAGCAGGAGCAAGAGGAATATGAGAAGCAGGCAGGAGACATACAGAGAAGTGCAGTCATGGGTCAACCAGAAAAGCATTATTACTCCTCACTGTCGCGAGCCCGACCCATGCCAGACTGTCCAACGACAGGCGCCATGCGCACCCCGAATTCGCAAAACCGAGCAAGCGCGCGTGTGAGCTCTAAGAATCACTCCCTCCAGAGATCACGTAATTAATGCAGCAAAGCAAAATCCGAATCGCTCGCCTCGTGACCGATCCTCTGCTCCCCTCTCGTCATGGGCACCTCAGTCCCCCTCAGTCCCCGCCAGTCCCCCTCAGTCCCCCTCTATCCCCCATCAGTCCCCCTCAGTCCCAGGCAGTCCCTCTCAGTCCCCTTCAGTCCCCATCGGGTTTCATTTGGAATTAGGCTACCTGAACGCACAAGCTGGGCCAGAAAATCACCTAGGCACTCGAATGTTAGACCCCCAGGGTTTACAGAAACCTGAGGGTTTAAACATTGTACAAATTATACAATTTCCCACCATAAAATGCCGCCCACGAGGCCCATCGTCCCCCTGGGCCCCCCTCAGTCCCCCCCAGGATCACGAACAAGTTTGAAAGCAGTCCCTGGCCAGCGTTAAACATCGGTCCTGGGTCGGGGTTTTGCCAGCCACAAGTCACGGGAAAATAATTATGCCGTTTGAAGGCCCGACAGAGAAACGGCATAATTATTTTCCTATGTTTTTCCACACGGAATGGTCGTCCAGGCCCCCCGAGCGGGGTTCCGCCCGACCGTGGAAAAACCGCCGTCGGACGTCAGGTCAACGCGTGGGCCCCTCAGCCCCCTTCAGTTCCACTCAGTTCCCCTGTCTCCCTCGGACTCCTGGGTCAGTTTCATCGGTCGGGCGTCGATCCAGACCAAATCTCACAGGCTCCGACTGCACCTCGGAAGCCTTCGCACACCCAAAACGGCATTCAGTAACCAAACTCATAGCTCAATGGATACAACATCATCCAAACATGATCTTGTTTTAGATAGCGTTTTATTGCACACGGAAGCCTCCATCGAGAATCCATCGAAAATCCATTGAAAATCGATAGATTCTCGATGGATCCATCGAAAATCTATCGACTTTCGATGGCTTTTCGATGGATTTTCGATTGACCTCGAAAATTGCTTCAAATCTGGTGTTATTTTTTGACGGAACCGAGCGTGTCTCTCTTGAGTTTTGGTCTGGGAAGTACCTTCTCAGGAGTTGTTCTTGATCGCGCCGAGGTTCTTGAGCTTCGCCTTCTTGTCCTTCTTGCTCAGGGCGGACTTCTCGATCAGGAACTGGTGCGCCGTCTCGAGATCCAGGAAGAGCTTGGCGCAGGTCTCAAGCGAATCCTTGCACTTCTTGCGGTCAAGCGACCTCATATCCTTCGAGAGGTAGCTCAAGATCTCGGCGGAAGGACCAGCGAACGCCTTGAGCAGCTTCATCACGTCCGACGCCCTGTCGTGGTTCGCCTTCGACTCCGACTCGTCACGCTGGACCCTCTGCGCGAGGAGGCCTGCGTCTGCCGTGAGCTGCGTGGTCGCGTCCCAGGCGTCCTGCATCGTCTTCATCATGTCGGCGTCCACGGAGTCGGAGCGCATGTCGCAGATCGCCTTGGACTTGGAGCTGGTCTGCTGCATGGGCTTGAACGCTCTGTGCAGCCAAGCCTTGTTCTGCAGGCAGGAGTCAACAATCATCTGCTTGTAGTGGTCCAGGTCCTTCACATCGATGTTCTGCTTGAACTTCCTGCTCCTCTCCACTGTGTCCGTCTTGACGCGACTCTTCTTCTTCTCGTACCAGAGCTCCTCGCCATCCGAGTCCTCCTCGCACCAGACGTGGTGCTTGTCGATCGCTTCCTTGAGGGCCTCGTCGTTGAAGTTGTACAAGCGCCGCATCGTGCTCCAACTAACGCCGTCATCCCTCCTCTCAGCCTTCTCCTCGTTCTTGACGATGAGCTCCTGAGCAGCCTTCACGTCCTTCAGGTTGGCTTTCGAAAGCTCGTAGGTGGCGTCCTTCTTGACCACGGCGTTGCGAAGGGCGTTCTTCTGCTGCATGACCCCCTTAGAGCCCTTCTGGTTCTGGAGCGCCTGCTACGGGGAAGGATGAGGAGAAAGGAGAAGCGTGTCGGACGAACCTTGGTTTTCAAATCGGTTTTTAAAAACTGGAGGAGGAGGCTGATAAGGAGGAGAAGCAGGACGACGAGGATATCCAGGATGAAAGGGAGGATGGGGATGGGCAGGAGAAGGAGGAGAAGGAGGATGAGGAAAAGGTAGCGCCTGCCACTTATCCTGGATCGCCTTCGGGAGAGTGGGGAGCATCCTCTCGAAGACGTGACTCTGCTGACGAGTGACGGAGCTGGTATCAGGGGCGTCGTCCTCCGCCTCCGCCTCGTCGTCCTCGTCAGGATCAGTCGGAGGCAGCTCGGCCTTGACGACCCACTTGGCCTTCTTGGCGTCGTCCTTGTTGCTGGCGCAGCCGTAGGCGGAAGCGGCAGCGGGGCGTTTCTTAGGAGCGGGCTCGGCGGCGGCGGGCCTCGACATGACCATATCCTCGACGAAAGGTTGGATTAAACGTCGGGTTGCCCAACCCCTGCGTGAGCGATTGCCTCAGTCCGATTGCTTGGGCCTAAACGACTGAGGAAAACAAAGATACCGAGTGTAATCCTTTGCTCATCACATGCGCAGCCAAAGTCTGATTAATCGCGTGGCACCATTGCGATTTTTTTTGTTTGCAACGCGCAAATCATTATTTTCAATGGGTTGTTTTTTGGGGGGCGGGGCTCGAGAAATTGCGCAGCGAACTGTGGCCACATTTACTCCTATCCCAAAGTCGTCCCCATTCCAGCTCGTACTGCAACTCGCCGCATCAATCTGTTTCGTTAACTTCCTGTCAGCTTATTTTGCTGAGGCAGGGGTGGCGGGGAGGGTAGAGAGGAATAGGATATGGTAGGGATCACGGAGAATGCAGGGGAAGCCAGGAGAGGGGGAGGAGAGGGGGGAGGAAGGGATCGGCTGGTCATAGGAAGGAATAGGCTGGTCTACTTGTCTCGCGCGCGCCAAATGTCCCCTCGAAATGGTAAGGATGCTTGCAGTGTGCATGCATGCAGATGAGAGCCCCCAGCTAGTCAGTGCACAACACTGACAGAACATGCTCTAACATGCGTTCACGAACAATGCACGTGGTGACCTGCAGCGCCATACTTCTGACAGCTAGCGCATACTCGCAGATCGCGCAGGCGCCTCGACACAAATGCTGCCCCTCAGCCTCATTTAAGCCAGCAGTGAGTTTTTCATGGCGATGGCCTCCGAGCGGAGAAACCCCCCATCCACATAGTCGAAGTGGGCCTTCACTTGCTTCGCGACCCGAGCGAATGTCTTGCCGTCACGGTTCTTGTTGACCGTGAAGACATGCGTCCGCTTGCCCGTCCCTACCTCGTATGCCACGATCTCGACCCTGGGGTTTGTCTCGTTCGTTGGCCCGCTCAGGCGGATGTTCTCAAGTCTGGGATCGTTGGGCTGCGCCTGGGCCTTGGCCTTGGCCTTGGCCTTGGCCACCCTCTTCAAGGGGGGAGCGTCCTGAGTGTCATCCCTGTCCTTGCGCCTGGTCTTATCCTTGCCCTGGCCAACGTTGTTGGTGGTAGGTTTGCTGGCATTGTTCTTGTCAAGCTTGTCGGGGGTCTCACTGCTGTCCTTGCACTGAGCACGAGAGTCCAACACATCCTGCTTGCGAGTCGTCGGGTTCAGGATGGGCGTCGCCAAGGCCGACGGCGCAGCATCGGAGGAAAGCGGTGGTGCCATCTCGCCGCGCTGAGGCGTGGGCGCCGCTTCGGATCCGAGCTCCTCGGTCGCCGCCTCTGCCTTGCGAGGCGCCCTCCCCCTACACCCGCGTTGTCTTTTGTTGCTGCAAATGTGTCATTGGGTTCGAGGTCGCAAGCTTTTCTGGAACCCCATGGGGTTCCAGAAAAGCTTGCGACCTCGAACTCAATGACACATTTGCAGCAACAACAGGGCCTAGCCGTACCATGAACAGGGTCCACGACATTATTAGTATTATTATTCGTAATGGTCGTCCCAGCAGGAGGAGTAGGAGTAGGAGTAGGAGTAGGAGTAGAAGTAGAAGTAGAAGCATGAGTAGGAGTAGGAGTAGGAGTAGGAGTAGAATTAGAAGTAGAAGTAGACGTAGAAGTAGAAGTAGGAGTAGGAGCAGGAGTAGGAACAGGAGTACCTAGAAAGCAATTCATGTTCCTTTGAAGATTTGCAGGGATAGGGGGAAGAAGCCCAATGCGCCTCCATCTCGTCCAAGTTTGCCCAGACGGGCACTCCGAACTGAGCTGCGCCAGATGCTTCCAACCGACGATCCAACAACTGCTTGAAGCACGTCGGGAGCCCCGAAGGTGATTGAGCTACCACTGCGGTCTCCCTGGGCCTCTCGATGGGCGGGTCCGCCGACTGCGCGCGACTGCTCGCGACGCTGCGGTCTTCCACGTCGAACTCGATCTTGGAGCAAAGCGAGTTGATGAGCACCAGCTGGGCTGCACTGGACCTCTTCTTCAGCCCGTTGGTCTTCTGGACGGCCCCCGAGGAAGCCCCCTGCTGCTCGCGCTTGAACGTCCTCAACACACCCAGGACGCAGCAGACGTGCGTGCGGAGCTTGACCACAGCGAGCTCCTTGGCGTCGCCGCTGGCCTTGAAGAGGGCGTGGTGGGCGAAGGCAGCGTCGCGGAGCCCAAGCTCGAACTTAGCAGGGCACATCACTGCGTTCTTCAGGCCAGCGCGGAGCATCGCCTCGACCAATGGTGAGCAACGGGAGATGTCATCAGGCGTGATCTGGTGGGTTTTATTTTTCGGGTCGACTAGCATCTCGTCGATCGCCATGCACCCAGAGCTCTGGTGAGCCTTCACAAACATGTCTTTGTAGTCCTGGGCCGTAACTGCGTTATTGGTCACAAGACGCGGAACAGCCATGGCCACAACAATGCCAACTATGCGTTGTGAGCAAGAAACAACCAGCGGCTGGCAACCTCGAACTCAAATTTGACCCAAAACGGCTATAGGAGGATGTGGAATAGGAGGGGTTGGGGGAGGGGAGGGCGAGAGGCGAACGCAATGACGACGTGAACGTTGATGACCACAACCGCGATTCAAAATGTGGCTCTCGCATTCGCGCCGCATTCGTCTTAAACGTTTGCAACAGCTACACGGATGGATGGGGATGCGGAGTTCAAAATGTGGCCCTCGCCGTAGCGCCTCGCGCATTCGCCTTACAAGTTGATCGCAAGTACACGCGGATAGAGGGCACTTTCTTTTTAAACTGTGGCTCTCGCCTTTGCGCCGCGCATGCGAGGACTATCGCAGTGCAGCGCGACAGCGAGCACAACAGTTATTCGCCGACTGTGTGTGGTCCTTGCACCGCAAAAATGAAGGGTTGAACGGGTGATGGTTAACCCTGAAGATGGCTACCACCCTTGCCCTGAACTTGCGTTTTGGCCCCGCGCCCGTTCCCAAACAGCAAGTTTTCTGTATGATATTGACTGGGGCATTGAATTTGAAACCAAGGCAAAGGCAAGTAAGGCAACTAGGGTAACTAAGGTAACTAAGGTAACTAAGGTTGGGGGAAGGGTTGGGCGAAGGGTAACTAAGGTTGGGGGAAGGGTTGGGCGAAGGGTAACTAAGGTTGGGGGAAGGGTTGGGCGAAGGGTAACTAAGGTTGGGGGAAGCGTAACTAAGGTAGCCAACCCCAGGGTAACCCTTCAACCCTTCAACCCTTGATTTCTGAGGTCCCGGGATGCTTTGGGTACCAAGCCAGCGGCCGCCGGCTTGGTACACCGCCGGCTTGGTACCCCCCGGGGGCTCCTCCCTACCACCCCAGCGGCCGCCGGCTTGGTACCCCGCCGGCTTGGTACCCCTCCAGGGCCTCCTCCCTACCAAGCCCGCGGCCGCCAGCTTGGTACCCCGCCGGCTTGGTACCCCCCCAAGGGCTCCTCCCTACCAAGCCAGCGGCCGCCGGCTTGGTACCCCGCCGGCTTGGTACCCCTCCAGGGCCTCCTCCCTACCAAGCCAGCGGCCGCCGGCTTGGTACCCCGCCGGCTTGGTACCCCTCCAGGGCCTCCTCCCTACCAAGCCAGCGGCCGCCGGCTTGGCACACCGCCGGCTTGGTACCCCCCCGGGGGCTCCCCCTACCAAGCCAGCGGCCGCCGGCTTGGTACCCCCCCGGCTTCGTATCCTACTGGCCTTCGGCCCTTCCCGCCATCGTGCCTGGGTGGTGGGTCAGAGGCCTCATGGATGTTGGTTGGGATCTCGTGGTTGGCCTCTCGGGGGCCTCTTGGAGGCAGTTTTGAGGCATCTTGGGGGCTGTTTTGGAGCTTCTTGGGGCCTCTTTTGGGTCTCTTGGGAGCCTCTTTGGGGGCGTCTTGGCGGCCCCTTGGGGCCTCTTCGGGGCCTCTTGGGGTCTCCTGGCGGCCTCTTGGGGCGGAAGGCTCGAGCTTTCGGTCTGTGGTCCTCCTCTGGGCCCTCTCCTGGGGCCGTCTTGGGGGCCTCTTGGGCCGTCTTGGGCGCCTCCTGGGCCGTCTTGGGGCCCTCTTGGGCCGTCTTGGGGCCCTCTTGGAGGCCGTCTTGGGGCGGTCTTGGGGGCCTCTTAGGCCGTCTTGGAGCGTCGGAGAGCCGAAAAGGCGGGAGGGCCAACATCCTTCAAAAACAAATGGAAATTGTCGATTTGGACCTCTTGGGCCGCTCTTCTGAGGCCTGTTGGCGCCGAACCAATCCATCCAGATACCAAGCCAGCGGCCGCCGGCTTGGTACCCCGCCGGCTTGGTACCCCCCCGGGGGCTCCTCCCTACCAAGCCAGCGGCCGCCGGCTTGGTACCCCGCCGGCTTGGTACCCCTCCAGGGCCTCCTCGCGGCCGCCGGCTTGGTACCCCGCCGGCTTGGTACCCCCCCGGGGGCTCCTCCCTACCAAGCCAGCGGCCGCCGGCTTGGTACCCCGCCGGCTTGGTACCCCTCCAGGGCCTCCTCCCTACCAAGCCAGCGGCCGCCGGCTTGGTACCCCGCCGGCTTGGTACACCCCTGGGGGCTCCTCCCTACCAAGCCAGCGGCCGCCGGCTTGGTACCCCGCCGGCTTGGTACCCCTCCAGGGCCTCCTCCCTACCAAGCAGCGGCCGCCGGCTTGGTACCCCGCCGGCTTGGTACCCCCCAGGGCTCCTCCCTACCAAGCCAGCGGCCGCCGGCTTGGTACCCCGCCGGCTTGGTACCCCTCCAGGGCCTCCTCCTACCAAGCCAGCGGCCGCCGGCTTGGTACCCCGCCGGCTTGGTACCCCTCCAGGGCTCCTCCCTACCAAGCCAGCGGCCGCCGGCTTGGTACCCCGCCGGCTTGGTACCCCCCTGGGGCTCCTCCTACCAAGCCAGCGGCCGCCGGCTTGGTACCCCGCCGGCTTGGTACCCCTCCAGGGCTCCTCCCTACCAAGCCAGCGGCCGCCAGCGTGGTACCCCGCCGGCTTGGTACCCCGCCGGCTTGGTACCCTGGGGGCTCCTCCCTACCAAGCCAGCGGCCGCCGGCTTGGTACCCCGCCGGCTTGGTACCCCTCCAGGGTCTCCTCCCTACCAAGCCAGCGGCCGCCGGCTTGGTACCCCGCCGGCTTGGTACCCCCCAGGGCTCCTCCCTACCAAGCCAGCGGCCGCCGGCTTGGTACCCCGCCGGCTTGGTACCCCCCCGGGGCTCCCCCCTACCAAGCCAAGCCAGCGCCTGCTACCCAGCGGCCCGGCTTGGTACCCCGCCGGCTTGGTACCCCTCCAGGGCCTCCTCCTCTACCAAGCCAGCGGCCGCCGGCTTGGTACCCCCCGGCTTCGTATCCTACTGGCCTTCGGCCCTTCCCGCCATCGTGCCTGGGTGGTGGGTCAGAGGCCTCATGGATGTTGGTTGGGATCTCGTGGTTGGCCTCTCGGGGGCCTCTTGGAGGCAGTTTTGAGGCATCTTGGGGGCTGTTTTGGAGCTTCTTGGGGCCTCTTTTGGGCCTCTTGGGAGCCTCTTTGGGGGCGTCTTGGCGGCCCCTTGGGGCCTCTTCGGGGCCTCTTGGGGTCTCCTGGCGGCCTCTTGGGGCGGAAGGCTCGAGCTTTCGGTCTGTGGTCCCCCTCTGGGCCCTCTCCTGGGGCCGTCTTGGGGGCCTCTTGGGCCGTCTTGGGCGCCTCCTGGGCCGTCTTGGGGCCCTCTTGGGCCGTCTTGGGGCCCTCTTGGAGGCCGTCTTGGGGCGGTCTTGGGGGCCTCTTAGGCCGTCTTGGAGCGTCGGAGAGCCGAAAAGGCGGGAGGGCCAACATCCTTCAAAAACAAATGGAAATTGTCGATTTGGACCTCTTGGGCCGCTCTTCTGAGGCCTGTTGGAACGTCTTGGGGCCCTCTTGGACGCCTCTTGGACCGTCTTGGGGCGTCTGGGCGGCCTCTTGGGCCGTCTTAGGCCCATCTTGAGAGTCTTGGAGCGATCTTTGGGCGTCTCGGGGGCCTCTTGGGCCGTCTTGGACGCCTCTTGGGGTTATCTTGGCCCGTCTTGGGGCCCTCTTGGGCCCGAACCAGTCACGCGACAAGTTGCCGGGGACCCCAGGGGAACGGCCGGGAGCCCCAGGAGATTTGGCAATTTGGGGTCTGGTCCCCTAAAAGACTCCTCAGGACTGAGGACTGAGGCCCAGGGGATGAGGCAGAGGACCTGAGGACACGCCCACTCCGTGCCCAGAGGCACGGTGGCGGATGAACATATACTTATGTATACATATATGCCTACATATACACATACACACAAATATATGTGTATATATATATGTACATATGTATACATATATATACATAGATACACGCAGAGAGAGAGAGAGAGAGGGAGAGGGAGAGGGAGAGGGAGAGAGAGAGAGAGAGAGAGATGCAATTCTTGACGCTTCGCGTGCCCCCACCAGCCCATCCAGTAACGATCGCCAGGCGAGTTGCCTTGATCAGGGAAGTGTAGAAGCATGCAGTGGAACAACCGCCTTGGAAGTGTTTCGGGGGCGCTGAAACGGCGGGGACATGTGTTGAATGATTTTACCGATGTTCCGCACTTGGCTGGTGCATTTGGGCCGCAGGAGTGGTTCAGGGGTTGAAATGGAGCGCGGCCCAAAAAGTACAAATCAGAGAACGGTCCAAGATGCCCCCAAGATGGCTCAATACGATTTCGGGACGGCCTTGGAAGCCCTCAAAGAAGCTCAGGAGGGCCTCCAGAGACACCCCTGAAGGGCCCGACGAAGCGAAAATCTCCAACGCTCGTGAAGTTCTCTTGAAATTTTAGCGTTTCCACATTTCTCGTTGTGGACACGTCAACGACGGCCGAAACTGCCTCAAGAACCGCCTCGAGACGCCATGACAGCCTCCAGAAAGGCTCCGAATACACCCTGGAAGGGGTTCAAGTTCGACCCGAAGACATAAACACGAGCCCAGAAAACGTCCAGGGGTTCCGAAGAAGCCTCCACGATCGTTCCACGACGGCACAAGTGGCTCCCGAGGCGGCACCTTGTAACCTCAAGAGCCTTCGAGAAGCCCCGGAGAGCACCCAGTACTCAACAGGCCCCGTCTCCAAGAAAGCACCCGGTACTCAACAGGCCCCGCCTCCAAGAGAGCACCCAGTACTCCACAGCCTCCGATACCAGAGAGGCCCCTTCAAAGTTGCATTAAAAAAGAAATCCGCCTCCAAGAGAGCACCCGCTACTCAACAGGCCCCGTCTCCAAGAGAGCACCCAGTACTCAACAGTCCCCGCCTCCAAGACAGCACCCGGTACTCAACAGGCCCCGCCTCCAAGAGTGCACCGAGTATTCCACAGCCTCCGATACCAGAGAGGCCCCTTCGAAGTTGCATTAAAAAAGAAATCCGCCTCCAAGAGAGCACCCAGTACTCAACATGCCCCGTCTCCAAGAGAGCACCCAGTACTCAACAGGCCCCGCCTCCAAGACAGCACCC